CTGATGCTGCCAATTGGTCCAGTGGTGAGAATCTTTGTCTTCTTGACATTGAGCCTCAATCCATATTGGAGGCTGCAGTCCTTAGATCAGCAAATAGTCCAAATGGAGTCCTTATTAAGTATTCACGGAGTCCCATTGTGGGTGGCACAATGGTTAAGTACTGGACGACTAATTAAAAGATTGATGGTTCAGAATGACTCCAGGGCATCTTGGAAGTAAGGCCTGGTGTTCTGCTTCCCAGAAGGTACAGCCTCAAAAACCCAGCAGAGCACAGTCCAGCTGCACTCAGGGCCTTGCCACGCATTTTCCAACAGTTGACTTGACAGCAACTAAGAACAATGGACAAGTCTTCACTAAGTGAATGAGCTCTTCCACGTTTAATCCTTACAGTATCACTATGGAAAAACTGAGGCATGAGGTTAAGGCCCTTGCCCTAGGTCACACTAAGAAAGTGGTAAAGGCAGGACTTAACCCTGGCCAGCTTGTCTCCAAGGCCTACACACACAGTCTTCCTTAAGCAGCTCAGCTCATTGCCATCCATTCGGAACCGTCTCCTAGCTGACCCTTCCATTGGATTTTCCAGTCACATAGGAGATTGCCCATCTTTCCCCCAATGGGTCAATGGGGGGTTTGAACTGCCAGAGTTGTGGCCTTTGGGCTAACAATGTGACTCTATCTGGGCTATGCCACCAGAGCTTCCAGTCTTCTTAACAGTAATTATTAATTTCTTAGAATCATGGCCTAGTTTTAATTGTTTTTGGTCAAACATTCTTCTAAGTGGTATAGCGGTGGTCTGTACATTTACTATACAGAGGAAACTTGTGGTTGCTGGGATGCTGAACACTGTGATACTGATGTGTCAAATGTGAGAATGGTTACCCATGGTGGACAGTGTTTGGTATAGCTCCCTGGTTAAAACAAGCTTGGAAGCAGGAGTAGCATCCACTTCCGAAATATCTTGCTTCCGGAAACTCTTAACTTGGAGAAACAAAGTAAGTTATACAAGCGTTCAGATCTTTCATTCACAGGGTTACTATGAGTCATCTAGGATTTGATGGCACTTAACAGCAACAAGAGAATCATTAATTGCTTGCCTTCAGTTCTCTATTATTTATCAAGCACTTTCCCTCCCACTTATACACTCAGGTATTTCTTAAGCACAACAGCCCGACAGACAAGGGAAACAATGCTTACTTACAAATATACAGAGAGGGGGAAACGGAGGCTCTGAGGGGGGCACTGACTTGCCTTGCTGAGGTCACACAGTCATTGGCAAATGTAGAGCTGGCACTTAGGGTTTTCTGACTCCAAATGTTCAGCCCCTCCCTGGGAAGACCTTCCACCCCTACCCCACCTTCAGGCCTCCCCAACAGCCACACCTCACACTTGGGGACTCTTTCCCTAGGTGGTCACTCTGCTGGGGCTTCCAGCCTTCTGCCATGGGGCCCCTCGGCTGTGTCCTGCATTACCACCCCCAGGCCTCTGCTCCCTATCAGACGGGAGGGGCAGGAACTCTCGGCCAGCAGGCCTGGTGGAGTTTCCGATCAGGCAGGAAAAAGAACAAAAGAATTGCTCGAGGGGGGAGAGGGGATGGTCCAGAGGGTGGCTGGAGCCGAGGGGACACTTCGCCATGGAATATGAAGTCAAGAAAGGGAAGAAGGTAAGTGGGAAGTGGGAGGGACCCAGGGCAGAGACTGAACCCCAAAGGGGACGGGGAGGGGGCATCTTGAATGGGGGAAATCCTATCAATGGGACTTTTCATTTGGATAAACCTTCCTTCCACCACCTTGGGCAGGCAGACATGTGGGTTCCAAACTCCTAACCTGTTTTCCTGGCTCTCAGGCGGTGGCTGCCATCCCTAGAATGGACAGTCAGGGATCTGCCAGGCAGACCTGGCGTGGGAAAACCACCGGCGTGCCTGGGCTTCCCTCCTGCAGCTTCTGAGACAGGGATGACCCTCCCCTGCCCTGTCACAGGGACCCTGGCTGCAGCCATTCTGGGCTCTGAGTGGGCCCGTCCAGCCGTGAGTCCCCAACCTGCTCTTTCTGCTTGCTCGTGCTCTCTCCCCATCTTTATCAAGCATCCCACTCCTAGGGTCTCAGCATGACAGGTTACTACCCACCCCTTCCCCAATCTTACCCTTCCAGACTCTGAGAAGTTTTCCAATCTGGCCCTGGGTGTGCGTCTCACTTTGATATCTTTGGGGTCCCAGGGCCTCTCAGGTTATGATTGCCACTCCCATCCCTGCCTTCCTTCCCTGGGAAGCTGGGCAGCGTTGTTATGTGGCTCCCATGTAAATCGTGAAGAGCTAAGAAAAATGCTGAGACCTACACGAGTGCCTCCTCTTGGTTCATGCCATCTCAGGCCTCCACATTCTCCATCCACTCAGGTTCTGTTTCACTGATCCTAGAACTTGAGCTGGGCTAGCATCAGCCACATGCAGGGCTTGTTAAGAAAGACTGCTGGGCCTCAGGCCAAGGTTTCTGACCCAACAGATCTGGGATCTCAAACCAGGTCTGACAAAAAGTTCCTGGGTAAGGCTGATGCTGCTGGGCCTGAGGCCACACCTTGAGAACAGCTGGTTTAGGTCTTAGTTACTCAACACATGGGGAGCACACATTTGTGAGCCAGTCTGTTCCCCTGCACAAGAATGTGAGCCCCTGAGGGCAGGAGAGTCTTGTTCATACTTGTCTGGTAGCAGACTCTCACTCTTTGCTATTGGGTCAAAACCCATTCATAGCTGAGTCTCCAGCAACTTTTAAGAGGCTGTAAATCACATGAGAGGTGATCGTCCAACTTTTTTCCTCAGAGCAGGAAGTGGATTTGAACCATCTGCCTTTGGTTTGGCAGCACAACTCCTTACTCGGGGTTGTAGGAATTAGTTACACTGACAGAACATACTGCCCAAAGATTTCACCTGGGCTGCCCATTGAACTCACCTGCGGAGCCTTGTAACCTCCTGGTGCCTCAGAGATTCTGATTCACTTGGTCTGGGGAGCAGCCTGGGCATCTGACGCCTTACAAGCTCTCCAGGGAGTTGAAATGAAATCAAGGCCAGACATGCCTCCACTCAAGTGTAGTTCTCACATTTGAGCGGGTAGCGGAGTCATCTGGTGGACATTTTGAAGGCTGATTTCTGAGTCCTGTTCCCAGAATTTTGGATTTAATTTGCCAAGGCTAGGGGAGCCCACTCGGGGGTTCTGCAGGAACAAGAAGACCTGGTGATCTGTTCCCACACAGACGTCAAAAGCCATTGCTGTTGGGTCAATTCTGCCACGTAACTAGCCTTCAGGACAAAGGAGAACAGGCCTGGAAGGTTTCCAAGGCTGTAGATCCTTAAGGAGGGAACCCTGGTGGTTTAGTGGTAAGCGACTGTGCCGCCAACACTGAGGTATCCAGTTCGAATCCACCAGCTCCTCCCCAGGAGAAGGATGGGCAATCTCCTCCTGTGCCGTTTACTGCCTCTGAAAACCCGCTGGAGGGTCAGCTATGAGTCAGCTCCAACTCTAAAGTCCACAATAATAACAACAACAATAAATCTTTTAGGAAACAGACCACTACACCTTTCACCTGCACAGCATCTGGTGTTTTCCACCCTCTGACCTCTAGGTTACATGTGAGCGCTTGACCTGTAAAGATTATAGCCCAGAAAATCATAAGGGACAGTTCTACCCTGTACATGGGGTTACCATGAGTTAGAGTCAACCCTGTTCCCCCCAACAATGACAAGCGGTTGGAGAGCTTATATTTCTTTCAGGCACCCACGTGATGCTGCTCCTAACCCAGGGACCACGCTGCTTACTCCAGTGAAGTACTCCAGCGCTCTCTGACCTTTGGCCTTTAGATTCTGTTGGTTTGGGCTAAGAGTGTGAACTCTGTGTTTTTAATCCACCACTTGTTGTTCATCACCATCAAGTAGGAATCCACCCGGCTGACCCTTCAGCTTGTTTTCAAGGGGGGAGACTGTCCATCATTCTCCCATGGGGGAGCTGGTGGATTCAAACCATTTGCCTTTGGGTTGACAGCGTAACTCTTTATTCACTAGGCCACCAGGTCATTTTACTGAGATGTTTTTTGGATTCTATTTAAACTCATTTTTAGGAAAGTAGAGAGAGAATAACCTAAAAAAAAAGAAGAAAACACCACACAAACCCTCTGTACCCATCATCCATCTGCATGAAGTCCAGATAATATGTGACACTTGCCCCTGTCCAGGCTCATTCCTTCAACCTTGGCAGGCTACATACACCCTCACCTAATTGTTAAGAATGTGGATGTTGGATCAGAATGCCCAAGTGGATCTCAGGGACCACCACTAGGAGCTGATGACTTTACCAGTCAGTTGGTCTTCTGAAAAGGCGTCTCCCTAGCTGTAGAACAGGAATCCCACTGCTGCTCTTTTGGCAGTTTGTGTGAGAATTGGGGGATACACGTAGGATGCTGAGCATGTGAGCACTGATTAAGAGTCAGCTGCTGTTGTGACTGTCACTCCCTCTGTTCTCTCCCAGGGTTTTGTGGCCCCCATCCGCAGGCTTGTGTTCCCCAAGGCCGCACGCAGGGCCGCCTGTCGGAGCAGCGTGAGCCGCAGGCCACTGCACTCCATGCCCCTGTATCCTCCCGACTATCTCATTGATCCCCAGATTCTGCTGTGTGACTATTTGGAGAAAGAGGTAAAGGTGCGTGTGGCATGGGGGACACAGTTTCAGGTGGGGAGATGCCTCCCTCCCTAACTCTGAAGCTCTGACCAGGCAGAGATGGAGCTTGTGGAAAGAACACGTGATTTGTCAAGTCAGTCTTGCCTCTGCCTCACACTGCGCATCCTCAGCAGGTGACTGCCAGGTACCTTGGAGGTGAGGGGTTCTAAATCCAGCCTCCAGGGGAGAGAAAAGGAGTGTTTGGGGCAGGAAAACTCCTACCTTGGTTGGACTACATGGACATTGTTACCTGGACAATAGTGGAATTCTAGGAACCCAGTTCCACCAATCATGAGGACCCCTGGTAACTTTACTTCCACATTGTGAACACCAGGGATCCTCATTTAGACAAGGATGGTTGGGGTGGGGAGGTTGCCAGATTTACCAAATAACAGTCATTTAAATTTCAGATAAGCAATGAGGTGGGTGGTTTTTTTTAAGTACGTCCCAAATATTGCATGGGGTTAAAAACATTAAAAGAGTATTGTTGCTATTTATTTGAAATTCCACTTCAGCAGGACATGCTTGGGGTACTTTGTCGGTGGCGCCAAGACTGGAAAAGGACATTGTGTTTGGAAGAGTGGAGGGTCAGTGGAGGGGAGGAAGACCCTCAGTGAGATGGATTGACACAGTGACTGCAGCTCTAGACTTGAGCATGGCGGGGATTATAAGGTTGGCACAAGACAGGGCAAGCTTTCAACCTACTGTTGATAGGGTCACTGTGAGTCGTAAGAGACTGGATACCACCTAACACAACAACAACAACCACCACCTATATGAGAGTGGAAAAGCTAATTTAAACTGAATCAAATTAAACCCCACTGACTCAGAGTGATCCTACATCATATTCCCAAGATTGTGAATCTTTATCCAAAAAGACTACTCGTCTCTCTCCCTCTGAGTGGCCGGTGGATTGGAACCACTGACATTCACATTAGCAATCTGAGACTATATATACCATAGCACTAGGGCTCCTCGAGCAGAAAATTAGAGACTGAAGATTTCATAGAAATTCAAAGAGTAGCTCTTTGATTGATGGACTTTTACCTAGAAGAAAACTAAAGTTTAGAAAACTAAAAATAATGAAAAAGTGAATTCTGATATTGAATAATATTCAAGTTATAACAGCAATGATCTATTAACTCTGAGGATAATTTGTTGACTTGTTGATGTCATTTTTCAGACAAAGTGATATATTAATTCAATACAACCTTCTTCCTGTCCATTTGACTTTTGCAACAAGAGTCTAACAAGAATAAGTGGTCAGAGAAAAGTGATTTGCATGGTCAGATGACACTGGCTCTGGGGACAGAGATTGTTTCATGATAGCAAGGGGACACTCACATGCAATCTATTCTTTCATGCTATTTATCATGACTTCTCCTTCCTGTCAAATTCACAATGAACCTGAGTGGTGCACAGGTTAAGCACTTTGCTGTTCATTAACTTAAAGGTCAGCAGCTGGAATTCTCCAGACGCTCCAGAAGGGAAGGATGCAGCAGCCTGCTTCCATAAAGATGGAACCCCTGCAGTACAGCTCTCCTCTCGGCCACAGGGCTGCTGTGAGTCGGCATTGACTTGTCTGCAGTGGATTTGTTTTGATTTATGGAACTCATAACTTTGAAGAATAAATAACTGGGTCTTAAGGCAGTCGAGGAGTCCCTAGGTGGTGGAAGGTGTTAGCATGCTTGGCTGCTCATGGAAATACTGTTTGAGTCCAGCCAGTGGTACCTTCACCACTTGTCTATCAATTTATCTTACTGTAGCGACTTGCATGTTACTGTGATACTGGACAACAACTAAGGATGCTAGAAGATTTGATGCCTTTGAGTTGTGGTGCTGGAAAAAGTATTGAATATACTATGGGCTGTTAAGAGAACAACTAGTTTCATTCTGGAGAGAGTGAAACCAGGCTGCTCCTGGGAAGCAAGGATTTTGAAGCTCCATCTGGCATACTTTGGGCATGTTGCCAGGAGGGACCAGTCCTTGGAGAGGGACATCATGCTTGGAAGGGTGGAGGGATTGACCCAGTAACTGGGGTAAGAGGGGTGGGGGTATCAGAGACGATGAAATTGGCTCAGGATAGAGCAGGGTTCAGAGCTGTTGTGCATAGGGTCGCTATGAGTTGGAGTTGATTCGATGGCACGTGACAACAACAGCATGATACTGGAAGTTGTGTCCTCAGTATTTCAATACCAGCAGAGTTACCTGAGATGGGCAGCTGTCAGCAGTGGTTCTAGACTAAGACAGGTTGGACCATCCACTTATGAAATAATCGGCCAGTGGAAAATATAATGACGTGCAGTGGAACGTTGTCTGACCCTGTGCCACATGACGAGCCCCTCAGGTTGGAAGGCACTAAAAATAGGACTAGAGAAGAACTGCCCACTCTAAGCTGAGCCTGTCTTAATGACCAGCACAGAGGAAGGACTTCAGGATCTTCCTTTGCTAAAAGAACCTTTAGTTTGGGAATGTGGTATGACTCAAAATTATAAGAAAGAGCTGCAAACATGTATGAATAATTGGAACATGGATTTTAAGAGGTATGAATCTAGTAAAATTGGCAATTGTAAAAAAAATAAAACTAAAAGGAAAAGGATACTTAAAAATCAGTATCCAGGCATTAGTTGAAATGGACTGGTATTGGAAATTTTTATTCAAACAATCCTATGGGTCTACAATGCTAGGAATGACAACTTGAAGAGGAATGGCATTGCATTCATCATCAAAAAGAGCATTTCAAGATCTAGCCTAAAGTGTAAAGTTGTCAGGGTTAGGATAATATCCATACGCATACAAGAAAAGCTTGTTAATATTATTTAAATGTACACATGAACTGCCAAAGTTCAAGATGAAGATAGGGAAAATTTCTAGGAACTTCTGCAATGTGGAATTGATTAAACATGAAACAAGATGTATTGATAATTACAGGTGATTGGAAAGCAAAAACTGAAAACAAAGAGGATTAGCTGTTGGAAAATATGGTTTTGGTGAGAAAAACAATTCTATAGATCAATGATAAAATTTTATATGACTGAAGACTTACAGTGTTTGGTGGAGCTCCCCAATTAAAACAAACTTGGAAGCAGGAGTGGCATCCACTTCCAAAACAGCTGGCCTCCAGAAACCCTATGAACCTGGAGAAAGTATGAAAGTTATATAAGTGTTCAGGTCTTTTGTTCACAGGGTGACTATGGGTTGTCTACAACTCAACAGCATTTAACAATGACCTTACACAGATGCAGTTCTGGGTATGCTGAAGCCTGTGACAGGAAATTTGGAAGAACCTGGCCAACTGACTGGAAGAAATCCATAGTTTTCCCCATCCCAAAGAAAGATAATACAACAGAGTGTGGAAATTACTGGACAATATCACATGTAAGTAAAATATTGCTAGAGATCATCTAAAATTGGCCAGAACAGTCAACTGATAGAGAAGAGCCAGAAGTTCAAGCTGCGTCTGGAAGAGGCTGTGGCACCAGGGATATAATTACTGATGTTAGATGGATCATCGCAGAAAGCAGAGAATACCAGAAGAATGTCTATTTGTGTTTATTGACTGTGCAAAAGCATTAAACAGTGTGGATTGTAACAAACTATGGTCAACCTTGAAAAAGATGGGAATTTCAGAACATTTAATAATGCTTAATGAATCCTATAGTTAGAACAAGAAGCTATTGTCTGAACAGAGAAAAGGAACACTGTATGGTTTAAAATGAAGAAAGATTTGTGTCAGAACTATATCCTTTCTCTATCCCCATTCAATCTGTCTAGAGACAGCAAACAACAACAATTCAATTTATATGCTGAGAAAATAATTTGAGAAGCTGGGCTTTATGAGGAAAACTGTGGCATCAAGGTAAGAGGAAGACTCATCAACAATCTGTCTTCTGCAGATGACACAACTACTTTATTTGCTGAAAATGAGGAGGACTTGAAATGCTTGTTGTAGAAGATCAAAGAGTATAGTTTTCAAAATGGATTATATCTCAACATCAAAAGACAAAAATCCTCACCACTGGGCCAATAGGCAACACCATGATAGAGGGAGAAAAGATTGAAACTGTCAGCAATTTCATCTTACTAGGCTCCACAATCAACACCATGGGCATTAGCAGTCAAGAAATCAAAAGACGTATTGCATTGGGAAAGTCTGCTGTCAGGGACCTCTCCAAAGTACTGAAAAACAATGATGTCAATTTGAAGACTAACATACACCTGATTCAGGCCATAGTTTTTTTAATCACTTGCTATGCATCTAGGAGCTGCACAATGACCAGGATGACAGAAGAAAAATTGATATCTTTTAGTTGTGATGTCAGAGAAGAGTACTGACTATCCCCGGACTGCCACCAGAACAAACAGATTAGTCTTGGAGAAGGTGTTCCTTGGAGAAGGTGCTCCTTGGAGAAGATGCTCCTTAGAGGCAAGGACAGCAAAGCTTCATCTCACATACTTTGGGCATGTTGCCAGGAGGGGCTATTCCTTGGAAAGGTGAAGGGTCAGCAAAAGAGAGGAAAACCCTCAATGAGATGGACTGACAAAGTAACTTCAGCAATGGGTTTAAGTGTGTCAGAGATGATGAGGATGGCACAGGGTGGGACAGGATTCATATTTATTGTTCATAGGGCTGCAATGAGTTGTATTCCTTTGACGGCATAATAACAGCAATATACGTGTGGACTTTGCTTGGTGGACTACAGAAAAACCAAAATGACCACATCTGCAGAAAGAGACAATGGAAAAGCTCAAGGAGACAATGGAGAACAAGGACAGGGGCTGACTGCAAGGCAGACCATCAATCAATCACATGCAAGTTCAAGGTGAAGCTGAAGACTAATCAAGGACATCATATGTGAAGAAAGCAAAAGGTTATGAAATAGACAGGCAAAACGAGATGCCGACCAGGCTTTGAAACTTGCTCTGGAATGTAGAGAAGCCAAAGTAAAAGGAAGGAATGATGAGGTTGAAAAGTGGAGCTGAAGATTTCAAAAGGTAAAGCTCAACCTCTGCCTTCCCAAGCATGATGTCCTGTGTTTAAGAATCAATGAAGGAAGAAGCCCAAGCTGCACTGAAGGCATTAGAAAAAAAAAAAGGCCCCAGTAGTTGAGCAAATACCAATTAAACAGAACAGCTCCGGAGGTGCTCATTTATCCATGCCAAGAAATTTAGGAGACAGTTACCTGTTCAATTAAATGAAGGAGGTCCAAGTGTGTGCCCATTTCAGAGAAAAGTGATCCAACAGAATGTGGAAGTTATCCAACCATGTCATTAATATCACACGTAAGTAAAATTTTATTAAAAATAATTTAAAAATGGTTGCAACAGTACACTAACAGGAAACTGACAGTAATTGAGAGCTGATGTCAGATGAGCTTGGCTGAAACCAGATAATATCAGAAAGATGTTTGCCTAACAGAAGTTGAGTATGCAAAGGCCTTCAGTCATCTGGATCTTTTTTTTTTTACTTTTTTGTGTGTGTGTTTTTTTTCTATAGTTGTATTTTATTAATTTTCATAAACATTTACCATTCATTCATTGTTGCACTATTCTCTCTACCCTCCTCCCATTTTGTTCTTGTCCAAATGCCACAGTGCTTGTCAAAGCCAGTTCTGATTAATCTCCTTTGTCAATGTGTCCCTTGCCATTCCCTATCACTCCTCCCTGAGAGAGACTTCACCCTGATTCATAAGGAAAAGGGGACGGCGTATTCTCTTAGCTACTTCCTGCTGAAAAGGGACGCTGTGGGTTTCAGGGTGAAGATCTTCTCTCACTACTCTAAAGGGCCCCTTTGGCAGTAGGAAACACATAGACTATTATGGAGATTGATTTTGGAATTTAGATGCACTCAGTCATCTGGATCTTAACAGATGATGGAAAACATTGCAGAATCACAGGTATTCCAGAACACTGAATTGTGTCGATCTATACAGTATCTATTTTTTATAGTAAAAAAAAAAATCCTTGGAGGCAAGGATTCTGAGGCTCCGTCTAACATACTTTGGACATGTTGTGAGGAGAGACCGGTCCTTAGAGAGGGACATCATGCTTGGTAGGGTGGAGGGACGTCGCAGGAGGGGAAGGCCCTCTATGAGGTGGGTTGATTCAGTGACTGGGATAATCGGGATGGGAGTGTCGGAGACAGTGCGATTGGCACAGAACAGAACAGAGTTTAGGGCTGTTGTACATAGGCAAGAGACTCGACAGCACATAACAACAACAACAACAACAACATACAGTATCTATACATAAATCAAGAACTTCAAACAGTCGTCCTAACAGAACAAGAGATCCTGTGTGGTTTAAGTCAGGAAAGGTATGTGTCATGGTTGTATCTTTTCACCATAGTTATTCAGTCGATATGGGACTGCAGCCTTCAGTATGAATTGAGGCTCAATATCAAGAAAACAAAGATTCTCACCACTGGGACAATTGGCAGCATCATGATAGATGATGAAGAGATTGAGATTATTCACAGCTTTAGTCTGCTCGGCTCCACAATCAACACTCTTGGCAGCAGCAGCCAGGAGATGAAAAGATGTATTGCAATGGGAAAGTCTGCCGTTAGAAAGCTCTCTAAAGTACTGACAAGCAATGATGTAAGTCTGGAGACTAAGGTGTGCCTGATACAGGCCATGGTCTTTTCAATCACTTACCATGCATGAGAGAGCTGGACAATGAATAGGAATGACTAGAAGGAGAATTGATGCCTTTGAGCTGTGGTGTTGGAGAAGAGTATTGAATATACCATGGACTGCTAAGAGAATGAACAGGTTTCTCCTGGAGAGGGTGAAGCCAGGCTGCTCCCTGGAGGCAAGGATTCTGAAGCTTCCTCTGATATGCTTCAGACATGTTGCAAGGAGGGACCAGTCCTTGGAGACAGATGTCATGCTTGGGAGGGTGGAGGGACAGCACAGGAGTGGAAGACCCTCGATGAGATGGACTGATTCAGTGATTAGGGTAATCGGGTAGGTGTGTCAGAGACAATATGATTAGCATAGGATACAGCAGCGTTTTAGGGATGTTGTACATAGGGTCATTATGAGTCGCAAGCAAGTCTACGGCACATAACAACAACCAGAACAACATGCTGAGCAAATAAATAATCTGAGAAGCTGAACTGTATGAAGAAGAACATGGTATCAGAATTGGAGAATCATTTCCAATCTATGATATGCAGAGGGCACAATCTTGTTTGCCAAAAATGAGAGAGGTTTGAATCACCTATTTATGAATATAAAAGACTATATAGCCTTCAGTATTACACTTCACTTTAAAGAAAAATCCTCACAACTGGACCGGTAAGCAATATCGTAATAAATAGAGAAAAAGTTAAAATTGTCAAGGATTTCACTTTACTTGATTCCACTATCAACATCCATGGAAGTGGCAGTAAAAAAAAATAAAATTAAATGATGTATTGCATTGGGTAAATCTGACAGTCAAGGACCTCTTTAAAGTCCTCAAGAACAAGGATGTCAGTTTAGAGACTAAGGTGTGCTTTACCCAAGCTATGGTATTTTCAATTGCTTCATATCCATGCGGAAGTTGGATCATGAATAAGGAAGACCATAGAAGACTCAATGCCTTTGAACTGAGGTGTTGGCATCTAACAACATAAAGGTGCCTAGAAAGAAGACCTAGTGATCTGCTTCCCCAAAGTCAGCCATTGAAAACTCTGTGGACAGAGCTCTACACTGACGCGTTTGAGATCACCATGAGTCAGAATCAACTCAAAGACAATCGGTTGCAAAGCGATACAACCAAACAGTTGAGAGTGTGGGCGAGAAACCTGTTGAGTTCAGACTGTCCCTTGCTGGCTGTATCGCCCTGGACAAAGCTTTGTGCCTGATTTTCTCATACTTCAAGTGAGTGACTTAAAGTGTTCAGAACTGTACTTGACTTGCACTAAAAGTTGTTTTTAAGGGCCCTCAAGATGCTTCAGACTCATCATAGCGACTCTACACATAACAGATTGAAACCCTGCCTGATATTGTGCCATCTTCACAATCGTTGCTGTACATAAACCGATTGCAGCAGTCACTGCATCGATCCATCTCATCGAGGGCCCTCCTTCCTTAGCTGATCCTCCATTTTTCAAAGTAAAGTTGCTGTTAGTAATTATTGCCAAATCAGGTGTTCCTACTGTGTCTTTGAGCATCTTCCCAGGCATTAGAGTGACTTCCCTTCTCCCCACACAGTTCCTGGGCCACCTCACCTGGGTGACTTCCTCCCTGAACCCCTCCAGCCGCGATGAGCTCCTGCAGCTGCTGGACACCGCCAGGGTGAGGCTCTGGGAAGGGGGACAGGTTGCTTCCTCTTCTCCCTGCGCCACAGCGGCACCTGGGGGACTCAGGTGATCTGGCCCACCCCACAGCAGCTGAAGGAGCTGCCGCTGAAGACCACTGCGGAGCAGGACAGCATCCTGAGCCTGTCGGCCCGCTGCCTGCTGCTCACCTGGCGAGACAACGAGGAGCTCATTCTGCGCATCCCCACGCACGAGATCGCTGCTGCCTCCTATCTGCAGGACGACGCGCTTCACCTGCTGGTGTTAAAGACCGGTACAGCGGGCGGGGGCCGGTGGCGGGGCCTGGAGGAGCTGGGAAGCGGTGGCCTTGAGGATGGAGGGGACCTGAGGCTGGGTGAAGGGATCCCTTGGAAATTCCGACCACATTGCCCGTAGTAGACTAGTAGTCAAGGGTCTGGACTGAAGTTGATGAGGGGTAACCCCTCAGATTAGAGGGTAGGGGCTAAAGCTGTGGGCACGGCAGGTAGAAATGGCCTGGTCACACCACCTGGAGGCCAGGAGGCCAAGGTAAAACTTGGGGTGGGCCTGGGATAAAAGGTTTGGAGAGAGGGCGGGGCGGGGCGGCGGGG